CACGCTCATTTTCACGTAGAAAAAAGTCCAAAATCGCGTGAAACGAGCAAGAGCGAGTGAGAATAATCGGCCGGCGATATACGTTGCGCTCAAGTTGGGAAAGATGGAGGAGCGCGGCGCATTTTCCGGAATTCTCCGTCCACTCTCGACATTTGGCGCTAGCTGACCTCGGTGAAAATGGCCACGGCTCCTTACGGCGAATTAGAATGTTATGAGATGGAGGGGGTGGGGGTGGGGGAAGATAAAAATCGTCCCGACGCACCATGTCATTCGACGAATTCGACATGTCGTCAAACATTACGTTGGCGGTTTGCGCGAGAACCGTCAAGTGCACACAGGATATCTCGGTTACTCGAATAAAAGAGATCGAGCTTTAAATAAATGGAAAAAAAAAAAAAAAAAAAAAAAAAACAATCGAAGATCTTGTATTGTTAAAGACATTTGTCGTAGAGTTCCTTTTTGACTCGTAGCTTGAAATGTTTGAAGTAAATTGAAAATTTAAGACTGAGTCGCGAAAAAGTAATTAACGCCGACTTTATGTATGCCCGATGTACATGTCCACCGAAAACTATATATTTTCTTTTTGCAATAGTAATAATTTAACGATCACATTCACAATAAAGCTCTTATATGCGCAGCGGCAAATCCTATAAAAAATTTAATGCTTCAACAATATTGTGGATTATGATTTTTGTTTTATAAAGTAATAATGACTTAACCGGGAGAATGGACACTTTACTCTGAAATAAAACCAACGGCACACTACGAATTACTTATGAAATATCATAATCGATCTTATTGCCAGCGCTTCTAGATCGCAAACATGTTCCGGAGGAACATCCCGATCGATTATGAAAAATGAGAAAAATGTCGATTTGGAAGTTAATCGGTAGAGTGGCGCCTGCACTTGGTAAAATTATTATCGATTAAACGAGTCAATGAGGGATAATGAAGACGACGACGACGACGACGACGACGACGACGACGACGACGACGACGACGACGACGACGACGACGACGACGACGACGACGACGACGACGACGACGACGACGACGACGACGACGACGACGACGACGACGACGACGACGACGACGACGACGACGACGACGACGACGACGACGACGACGACGACGACGACGACGACGACGACGACGACGACGACGACGACGACGACGACGACGACGACGACGACGACGACGACGACGACGACGACGACGACGACGACGACGACGACGACGACGACGACGACGACGACGACGACGACGACGACGACGACGACGACGACGACGACGACGACGACGACGACGACGACGACGACGACGACGACGACGACGACGACGACGACGACGACGACGACGACGACGACGACGACGACGACGACGACGACGACGACGACGACGACGACGACGACGACGACGACGACGACGACGACGACGACGACGACGACGACGACGACGACGACGACGACGACGACGACGACGACGACGACGACGACGACGACGACGACGACGACGACGACGATGAGGTCGAGTATAGGCAAGCGCAAGGACTATTGTGCCCATGCGATCAATGATCGACCATCATTAATCGAGACTTTCGACTCCGTGGCGGCGCCTCGAGAATTCGCGTCCGCGGGAGCGAGCGATTCCGAATTAACGATGAAGATGAAATCGCCGATCGTGTAATGCCTGATTCGCTATTACGGATGCGCGGATGCCAGAGGGATGATAGTATAGTCGTCTGGTGGTACGAGGAGGTATACGGTGGATGACCGGGATGGAGGAGTAGGTAGCCGCTATTGGGGGGACGAGGAATTGCCCTTGGCAAGGGTGAGCGCGCACGTGGGAGTCGCGGTATTCGGTCGGAGGAAGATCGCCGGGAGCGACGATGCTGGTGACGTACCTCTGTTCCTCGCGCCTCTAAGGGCGGCCTCGAAGTCGAGCCAGGGCTGCCAGAGGCAGGCCCGCCTCGAGACCTCCATCCTCGCGGAGGACTCTCCACCGGGGTGCCGTCGAGTCGCGAGCAGCATCGCTGGTTATCCGAGAGCGCCTCGCCACGACTGCCGCCCGGGAGGAGAGTTCATTCATTCATCGGCCGTTCCTCTCTCGATACGATCCGCGCGCTGCCCCCTCCCAACCCACCATCCATTCTCAACGCGTCCACTCTCTCCCTCCCTCCCTCCCTCCCGCCCCGCCGCAACGCTCGCCCCTCGTCGCGCCATTCCACTCTTCGTCCATACTTTTCGCTTCCCATGCCATGCCTTTCTTCATCCTCGTCATCATCATCATCCTCTTCCTCTACTTTTTCTTCCTCTTTCTTACTTCGTCTCTCTATCTCTCTCTCTCTCTCTCTTCTCTCTATCTCTCTA